TTTGTTCTGATGATGACTTACACCTGATCCCTTCAACACCTCGTGGTTGCATAGGCTGGTGAGCTTCTTCCATGTGGGCTTTATTGCTTCTGAGCTTGATGGCCGCTTAATTACCTTCAAGCCTTTAAGACCCCAGACGCTATACTTTTTGATAGCCGGGCACCATCAGCTTCAGACACTATTCTTTGTGATAGCCACGCACCATCTGGTGTCTTGACCACACTTTGAGATGGTACCCCTATCTTCAGGGGTACCTTTATGAGGGTTAAGTACTAAGCAGAGCTGCATTGTGAGAGCTCATCAGTTCTTTGATTGGGGCTTACAGCTAATGCAAGTTCAAAATCAATTCTTATAGCTAAGGTTTCTACAGATCCCTGTTCCAGGTAAGTCTTTTTAATAGTGAACATTGACAAACCAGGAAAGAAAATACGTTACGACTATTTTGGATTTAAGGTTAAGACTTACAGTCTCATAACTGAGCAGGAATGAGGCTTTCCATTTCTGAGAACAAATAAGGATCAGCACTTTTCTTTTTACGTTTTTGACTACCAGAAGCAAAACACCTCATTCTCTTCTCTTTTGCCTGAATAATGGCTTGGTGTGGCAACCAAATTAGGTAAACTTTGAAAAGGGATACTTATCCTTATTTATAAGTTGTTCATCTATGCCTTTGACATATTGTAGTATTTCATATATGATAATTCCTTAGGTTACACGAAACTAAGAAGTCAACTATAAAAATATAGACATTTATACTACAGGCTTCCTTGTGTGTTTATGACACTTTTATCATTTCTTATGAGATGATAATATTATTGCAAAACCTGGGGTTTTGGGAATATATGTATTTAGATACTTTTGAAAACTGCATTAGCTCTTGGCAATTGCTCTTCCTCTCACTCCAACCCTCGCTCTGCTCCAGTGGTTCTCAGCCTTCCTCATGCTGCGGCCCTTTCATACACTTCCTCATGCCCCAACCATAACATTATTTTCGTTACTACTTCATCACTGTAATTTTGCTACTGTTATGAATTGGGTGACCCCTATGAAAGGGTCATTCGACCCCCAATGGGGTCAAGACCCACATGTTGAGAACCGCTGCTCTACTCCAAAGAACCCTCTACTAGATTTTATGAGCCATACAGTCATATATTGTTATAATCCGTAATTCTATTTTTAGTGCTATGAATATTATGCAACACTCATATTAGGAGCAAGTCTCACTCCTTAAAGAACCCAACACCCCCCGAAATATTTTTGGAGAACTTCTTTAAGAAAAAGGATATAAATTAGGAAGGTTAAAATTAGATCCTAAAGTGAATGTTATTTTAGAATCAGAAAATATAGAACATTTTTAAGCTGGTAAACCCAAGACTTGACATTTCCCACCACTTCCCAGGGCCATGCATGGGAGCAGTGCAAGTCAGGAGCCTGACATTTCATCTTCATTTACCTTCAGTATAAATCCACCTGTGATCTAAGGATACATGGAGGGAATATGCACCCCTTTGACCAGGTAAAGGGCACAGACATCTCCGTATCCACATCTCATGTCATTTCAATGCCCTGCAGGTCTTCCCTTCATTGAGTTTAATACCACTGACACAGATGCTCGCCTTGGGGTCAGATCTGCAAATGGTAAGCACTTGTGCATACTATTTTTCATTCACTGTCAAATACAATACCTAATGTTTCATGTCTTGGCTTCTCCAATGCTTCTTATCTCTTCTCCCTGAACCCCTCTCCCAATATCTCTCTGTTAGTTCCCTATGCGTTCACACATCCACAGAAACACCAGGGCGGAGTCATCATCCCGGCAGCCGGACGGCCTAGAAAGCTCCTCGGTTGTCTCAGTCTCTGCGTAGCTCAATCGGGCTGGAGGAAGAATATCAAATTCCTCTCTTTGCCAGAGTGAATTTTTCCCCAGTTCTAGAGTCTGTATTCCAAACTAGATATTGTATTCTGCCCTTCGTCTGGTTAACCAGGAAGGAATTCAATGCTTCATAAGAAAGTCAGTGGACAAATTCTAGAAGCCGGTGCTGCTATATCCAAAAGGAAAGAGTGGACATCAACCACCTAAGTGACTTTCAAAGAGAAAGGATTAAATGCCAAAGGAAAATGATGTGGGAATGTTAGTCCTGGATGTTATTGTTTAGTACCCTTTGTGTGTCAGCTCTTGTATTAGTCTAAGTACTTTGGAGAAACAAATCCACAGCAACTCATGTATAAGAGAGAGTTTTATGTAAAGAAAATGTGCATCATGAAAACATCCCAACCCAATGCTGCCCGAGCCCACAAATCCAACATTAACCCATTAACCCAACACCAGTCCACAAAGTCCTCCACCTCACAAAACAGAGGCAATGATGCCGACTGCAGGAGGAAAGCTGAGTCCGTGAACGTGTAAGCATCTCAGCACTGGCACGGGTCTCCACACGGCTGCTCCAGCACCCAGGGCTGCATCGGGATAGATCCATGCGGCTTCTCCTTGGGGATGTCTTGTAGGAAATCCATCTTGCAAGCTGAAGCAGGGAACTGCTAAGGCAGCTGCACCCGATGCAACCATCACAAAACAAGAGACCCGAGAACTAGAAAGGCGAGGCTTCACCACCCATTTATCCCTCCACCTTTCAACCAGCCCCACATGTGATTATCGGCCAGGCTGGCACAATTAACTAACTCAGCACTTTTCTCATCCATCTGAAATAAAATATGCAAGCGTATCTTATGTTTAATAAGATTTCAGTCTTTTGAATGTTCAAATTCAGAAAAACACAACGAAATCTTCTTTATCTCCTTATAGCTAAACACTGCTACAGGTGTGGGGCCTGGCACCCAGACCCTCCCAGTGAACCTGGGCGGGGTGACTGTACAGCAGCAGCTGCAACCACAAGTAAGTACAACACCTGGACAGAAGATTCACAACTTCTCTCAGGCCAAAGTCTCAAAGGGAGAACATTTATTTAAAGTTTCTTTCAAATTTTACTCAGGTAATTTGAAGAGGAGTGTTTTACCAGAAGTAGTACAGTCTTTGGCAATTTGGTTCTTTTTGAAAAACTGTGAAAGCACACCAGAAAACAGAGACCTCTACCCCATCACCTCTCTATATTACAGTTTTAAGGAACAGTAGGCAAATGTGAAGAGATGGGGAAAATTAAAAAGTGAAGAATGTGACGGGGGTGGGTAGAGGATGAAGAGGTATCAGTATTCCTCAGTTTATTCTGCTTTCGATTGAAGACTTCCTGAGTGATCATTCCAAAGAGAAATTATTAATCCGATCACATCTAGCTTCAGCAAATTGAAATCTTTTGTGCTTATTCCCATGTCTTCTCTCAAGTCCCCATGAACTTTCTAGTGCTTTATGAGCTCCCATTGCCACGTGCTTATGCATCAGGATTGTACCCTCTCCCATAGCGGTTCAATCTGTACGCCGGGAAAACAGGACGAGACTAGACAGCATGAAGAAGATTTCAGCAGCAGGATCGGAGGAAGGCTCATTAACAGCCTGCGAGAGGCAGGGGACACACGCTTTTTGGCCAAGAGGAGAGTGGGGAGGGCTTGAAGCACTTGCTGGTGAAGCTCCAGGACTGCTGCCTTCAATATGGATTACAACTCAATGTAAAAAAAAAAATCCTCGCAACTGAGCCAATAGGTTAACATCATGATAAACAGGAACAAAGATTAAAGCTGTCAAGGATTTCATCTTGCTGGTATCCACAATCAACAGTCATGGGAGCAACAATCGAGAGAGTAAATGAACCAGTGTATTGGGTGAATCTGCTGTACAAAATCTTTTCCAAGATTAGAAAGTATGGAGGTTGCTTTGAGGACTAAAGTGTGCCTGGCTCAAACCACAGTATTTTCGATCACCTCATATGAACGTGAAAGTTAGACATTGAATAAGGAAGAAGAATTGATGTGTTTTAAATTGTGGTGCTGGAGAAGAATATTGAAAGTACTATGGACTACTGTGGTAATTACATAATCTGTTGTCAGTTTGAGAATTAAGAGAGAAGGGTGGGGTTCAGCCTATCCATCAGGTTGCAGCTTGATGATCTCTTTTGGAGACGCTAAAGACACAGTTAAAGAAATTAATAGCTTGCTGGAGGTGAGATACATGCTCACTCCCTGCAAGACATCCCTGTGAGAAGACACATGGAGAGAGGTTGATGGAGCCAGAGCTCTGGAGCTGGAGGAGCCACATGGAGACGCCTGCCTGCGCTGAGATGCTTACACCGCCACTGGATCCACAAGACCTTCTACCCACTGGCCTGTGATCGTCCTGCATTCGGTGTCATTGCACATGTTTCGTGAGTCTGAAGAAGACTTTATAGATTGGTACCGGACATATAAGCTAATATCAAACTTATGGACTTGATCTGGACTGGGCTTGGATGTTTTCGTAATATTCAATTGCTCTTGTATATAAAGTTCTTCCTTATACACATATGAGTCTCCCTGGACTTGTTTCTCTAGTCTATCTGGACTAACACAACTACCAAGAGAACAAAGAGTTCTGTCTTGGAAGAAATACAACTAGAATTGTTTGTTTGTTTGTTTGTTTGTTTGTTTGTTTGTTTGTTTGTTTGGAAAGAATAATGACGGTTCTCCTTAACTTTGGATATGTTATCAGGAGAGACCAGTCCCTGGAGAGGAATAGCATGCTCGGTAAAATGAGGGACAGCCAAAAAGACAGAAACTCTCGACAAGACAGACTGACACAGCGTCTTCAACAATGAGCTCACACTTGGGCACAATTGTGAAGGTGGCGCAGGACAGGTGGTTGTATAGGTCGCTGGGCGACAATGCAGACATAAAGCCACCTAACAACAGCAATGCCCCTAGAAAAGCTGTAAGGACTAAATGTGTAAAATATGTAAGACATTAGAATAGTGCCCACCATTTAGTAAACCATCATAAGCACTAACTGCCATTATTCCAAATAATTTCTCTAGCAACAACCAAGGAAAAAGCTTAATCCTTATTATGCTGATGAGCAATGAAATGACTTAAACACTCGTGGTTTCCACTCTGTCTCCTTCTATTCCTTCCACCTCAACTCACAGTTAAAGAAGAAATTTCAGTTAAGTTTATTCCCAACTCCCAAGTGGCCTTCCCCCCACCTTGCTTTCCCATTGCCACCCTGGCAATTCATTTATTATATTCTATATCAGATTATATATATATAGAATATATATAGAATTATATTATATTATATATCAGATTATATTCTTTATCGCAAGCACAGGATAGTTTCCTCTGTGCCTCGACTTGTCAGTAACCAAGTTAGTGACCAGGGCCTTATTAATTGAATGTAAGATTCTCTCTTAAATGCCTGCACTTTCTAACTATTGGCATGACAGGTATTGCTGTACCATTTTGTCTTAGGAAATAACAAATTAACAATATATTTCACAAGACGAACAGTTTTTACATTGGCAAATATTTTTTAAATCCATTGTGGAGTTTCCTGACTTTGTAAACTTTCTAAAGAAGTAAAAATAAATGTGTAAAATTCTAACTTTCTTTGCCAAACTCAAGGCTAGCGGTTGCAGTACAAGAGAGCACCCAATGACACCAGCACGCCATCAAACGCTTTCAGCTGTAAAGCCACATTAGGGAGTTGTCATGACAATGTTCTCGCTGTTACTACTTGGGATAACTTTTGACCACTTGGAATGCTTTGGAGCTAATTTTTGACCAAAATTATTTTCATTCATTCAGATTGCTAACTTCCATCTTCTAAATGTGCAGCCTTAGATAAGTTTCTAAATCCCTCTGTGTTTAATCTTCATTTTAAATATTAGATAAGCAATAAGACCTTCCCAGCTCTATGAGTTTGTATCTATTATTCAAGATAGCACGGAAGCAATAAAATGTTATCTTTTGTCAGTAAATATTTACATTTTGAATATGTCAGAGCTTAGTTTTGAATAGGTTTTTTACTGAATGTTTTCTTTTTTCCTTCAGATGTTACCAATTTTTGTGGCACAGCTTGGAACCCAGGTGAGAGGAATTCTTTGTTGTTGTTGTTTTTCAATATTTATTCTCTGTTATTTGCTCAAGATCACAAACCAGCTATTTTTACATTTAATTGACTTAATATCAATAAGTATTTACCAATGCTTTTCAACACTGTGCTAATGCTTTTCAAATGTCTAATGCTCTGAACATTATGAACATCTTTTAATATCACTATAGAGCAGTGGTCTCAACCTTCCTAATGCTGAGACCCTTTAATACAGTTCATGTTGTGGTGACCCCCCAACTATGAAATTATTTTCATTGCTATTTCATAACTGTAATTTAGCTACTGTTATGTATTGGGCAACCCCTGTGAAAGGGTCGTTCGACCACCAAAGCGGTCACAGCCCACAAGTAGACAACTGCTGCTATATAGTACTTATCATGTGCACAACATAAACTTTATCTAATTATTATGGGCAAAGTTTTCATTATTTAATTATTAATCATTTTATTGGGAGGGGCTCTTACAAATCTTATGACAATCCATCATTCAATTATATTAAGCACGTTTGTACATAATGTCATAAACATTCCCGAAATATTTTCTTTCTACTGAAGCCCTTGGTATCAGCTCTTTTTTTCCCCTCCCTTCCCACTCCCTCATAACCCCTTGATAGATTATAAATTATTATTATTTTCATATCCCACATCGCCCGCGATCTCTCTTCCCCCATGTTTTCTATTGTTCTTCCCCGAGGAGAGGGGTGTATGCGTATGTGTTGATCGTTGCGATCCGTTCCTCCTTTCTCCCCTCCTCTCCCTGTTTCCCTCCCCTTCTGGTGTCGCTATTCCCGCTCCTGTTCTGGATTCTGTGTCTCCCTATCTCTTTTCTATACTGGTGTACATTCTTGGGTCTAGTCTGAATTGAGAAGCAGCACGGGGGTCGTGAGTATTGGGGGTGGAGAGTATTTTAATATGAGACTGCTTAACATTCAGTAAAAAATATATTCAAGCATAAGTCTGACATATTCAAAATCTAAATATATACTGACAAAAGATAACATTTTATTGTTTCCGTGTTATTTTGAATAGTAGATACAATCTCATAGAGTTGGGAAGGTATTATTACTTATCCAATATTTAAAATGAAGTTTACACCCAGAGGGATTTGGAAACTTGTCCAAGGCTGCATAGTGTTTCAAAACACTGTGTCGTGAAATATTCATCTCACCTCAGTTTACCAGATATTTCCAAAGTTTCCCGTTTAATTTGCATTGTATGAATATTGCAATAACAAGAGCTAACACTTATTGTGTACCTACTATATGCTAAGTACATTTCTAAGTACTTTACTATACTATCTCATTTAATCTTAACAAAATTTTACAGTTATTTTTAGTTTCAATTTGAAGATCATTTAGTAAACAATAGATGAATTGATACTTTAAACCAATATGTTCGGAAAGAAACATGTTAATGTATTTAATTTAATATCGCAGGGATTTGTTTTTAAATATCAAACATATTTTAACGGCTTTCCCTAAGAATGTTACATAACACTTTCTCTCCTTTCCTATTTTTTTTCCTTTCCTAGTTTTTAAAGAAAGGTAATTCTTAGATCATTGATGGAATTACCAAGCTCCAATTTGACAGCTTTTGCTTCTGAAAATAGCATCAGCTATAAGATTCCTATCAACTCTAATGCCAGATCAGGAACAAATCCCAGCCAGTAAGCTGAAACACCACAAAAGTCTGTGTGCAAATCAATCACTGAAACAGACTTTATAGTACTGGGAAAAGCAAATTTACAATGGGACCGTTTACCTCACTGTGCAACATAAACTGTGCCATGTGGACACTCAAAACTCCGTTCGTTAAAATGTGACAGTAACATGGTGAAGTGATTTTAGTATAACTTTTATATCAGCTTAAAAGACACGGCATGAAATGGTGTCAATAGCATGACTTCTGTTATATAAAAAAGAACAATGTGGCAAACATTAAGAAGAAAATGCATCACGCTGTGCATTGAGAGAGTATGGTCTTTATTTTTGTCTTTCCTTGCTCTCTTCATTCTTTGCGTTTCCTCCAATATGAATAGATGACTTAATAATCATACACTGTCATTTTAAAAAAGCAAATCACCTCACTCCAGTCAGACAATAAATGCTGGCACTCCAACATCATATGGTGACTTGGATTTTGAAATACACGTCTTAAATAGGGTTTAAGGTATTGTGGAAAATAAAATATATATATATGTTTCTTTGTATATAATAAAATATTTTATTTTACTTGTTTGATTCATATCTTACCTATAATCAAATCTCTCTAATAACTTGTGTTTCTCATTTTGCTTCTAGGGTGCTATCCTAAGCTCAGAAGAATTGGTAAAAAAAAAAATTACTATGATTTTAAATTATTTTCCTCTGTACTTAAATCTGTCCAGCTCTAAGATAAGTCTTTCATGATCACAAATCTTGCTTTCAGTGCACCTTACAGTAGACAGATCCTCCTGCAGGTCCTGCCATGAGAGGGTCCCTTGGGCAGTGCATCCTCCTTCCTTGGCTACTTTCCCATTAATTTGACTTAATTTTTTAATTCATAGATTTCTGTCCAGAAAGCCAATTCATATAAGTTTTAAACTTTACAGTGATTGAAATTCAAATGTAAAACTATTGAAGCATATGCAGGCATCGAATAATATAACTACCAATACTTCTTACAAAAAACATTCATTCTCTGGAGTTGGATTTTTTATTTTAATGTGAAAATATATTCTCTTTATTGCATCTGCAAGTAATTAATCAACACTTTTCTATACACATAAATTAAGGCTAAAACAAAATACCAACATTTTGCTCTTCTATACCTTTCCCCATTTTCAAGGGAAATGACTGGAATTAACATAATCTCTAAATATGACAATAGAGCTAAAGAATAGATGAAATGGCTAGGAACATCGCTATTTATAAAGAAAGCTTGTGTATGGTTCATAAATGACAATTGAGTAACAGAGTGCCTGTCTTGCTAACACTGTCAGTTGAACACCCACATGTGGAAGTTTGTCTAGCAAGCACCTCAGTAAGGCTTTTGCATGCATTGCTTTTAGTCTCACTAAACTCTAGAGATGTTTAACTCAGTTTTACAGATAAACTGTGGCTCAGAGATCATAAACAATTTAGTTCCTAATACAACAAAGATAGCTATTTATATACAAAACCATGTTCTATCTACTATCCCAGTGATTTCCAACCTTTTTGTACTACCAACCACAGTAACAACTACATTTCCATGTAATTGAACATGCACGAAGTTTAAGAAACAATATTTCTGCAATGTGAAATGCTGAAATGAATTCTGGTAATTTATAGGACATTGTGTGTGTGTGTGTGTGTGTGTGTGTGTGTGTGTGTGTGTGTGTGTGTGTTTTCTTCTGTGTGGTTTTTTTACTGGTGGTCATCAAGCACCTTGTTTATTTGAAAGCTGTAGTCACACCACTGATTTGAAAAATTCTGCATTCTACTTCTGTTTCTTGACCAACAGAAGTCTCATTCTGGTTTCAGTACCTCTTAAATCTAAGACAGTGCTTCTCAAACTTTGTCTGAACCACCAAATCAGCCTATTTTGGTAGACTTGTTAAAAATGGAGATCATAAGTCTGGCCCAGACCTGCTCACTCAGATGCTCAGGAAACGGAGCCTGGGAATCTGCCTCAACAAATTCCTCAAATGGTTCTCCTGAACACTCAGATGCAAGGATCACCTTCAAGAAGCCTGACCTGTATCTTACTCGTGAGCTCTCGACAGTTTGGTACTGTTTGCAAAGACAGTCCACCGTGCAAACCCCAGAGAACTAGTCCCTGCTCAAACTCACTCTCCCCCAAACACCAAACTATTTCATCTTAGGGGAACTTTCCCCAGTAATGTTTTCCAGAAAAAAACACAAAACTAGAGTGGACAGCAATAGCATTCATTACCTGTAGCCAAATCATTGGTAGGCTATAAAAAGAAGTTCCCTAACTAAGCCCAGGGAAACCAGGTGGCCAAAATGCCAAGAGAAACTACTTCTGACTCACTATCTCAATGTTCTTGAAAATACATGTTTTAAAAACTTGAAAGAATACAGTTTACAAGGAAGAGGAGTGCTTGAATTTGTTTTTCGGTTAATTTTTAAACCCCTTTATTACTTTTTATTAAACTAATTTTTATGGACAAGAGACAGGCTGTGGAATAGGTCACTAACAAAGCTCACCACCATCATTGTCTTAGTTGTAGCTACAAAAACACGTGGGGATATCAAAGCATGCATGACTCTTTGTCCTGTGACTGCCCTGATTCTTGCTTCCCTTTTCTAAAGGTGGGAAGGAATTCCCTTAATGAAACCAGCATCAGGCCCCCCTGAAGAAAAGGTGGATTTATCAGCCTTAAATGTGCTCCTTTTGACCTCTCTCGTTCCAGCCGGTGGCCCCACAAGTCTACACGGGCCTCCTCATCCACCCCTGGTTTCCTGGAGCCTTCCTGCCCACCAGCCAGGCAGGGTCTACTCCCGAGGGCCAGGATGGGGCCCTTCCTGCAGGCCAAGCAGCAGCACATCCTGCCATCCAGGGAACCCCCGAAGGTCACCTCCCAACTCCCAGTGGCACCGACTACCTCTCCGGAGTGACAGCCCCTGCTGGCCTCCAGAGGGACATGCACACCACTGAGGAAGCTACCACAGATGGTACGTTCTCCACGCTGGAAAGGAACTCCTCTCAGAGACGAGGGAGGTGTTTTGTCTTGTCCTACGAAGTAGGCCCAATGAAAATGCGGAAGCGCTTCTGCCCCTTCACACTTGATCCCAGCAATAAAAGTCACTATTTGAATCGAGTCCCAAGCTTGAGGCTATGCCACCCACTCTATTAAGTTACCCTTTTCACACGGGCGTGTGTTTGCCGGCGCAGCTGACTTTCCACGGAAGGTCCGAGCAGGAAACACCTGGGAGCACACTGTGCCCTCCTCATTCCCTGCCCGCTAGGCCTGGGCTCAGAGCCCAGGCAGCGAATTGATGATGACGTGCTTTTTCACTCGCGGATCCTGGAGGAACCTCACATCTTCCTGACATAGTGCTACCAGCAGACGCGAGTAATTGAGTGGATTAGTACAATAGAAAATCCAGAACTTTCTGTTAGTATCCTCCGACAGGCCGAATGAAATATTGGAAAGAAGTGCTTCTACCACCAACACGCTGTGCAGATGTCCAGAACAAGGAGCTTGGGAAATTACAAAAGAATGGTGTGATACTGCTCCTGCGTAGTTTTTTTTCATCCCAAATCAAAATATATGTCAAGCAAGTCTGTAAGAGCCAAAAGATGACCTTGAGTACTTGAATTTCGAGACCACCTTGTTGCTAGCCGCAAGGGCTCGAGGGAGCCTGACACGGTCTTTTTTTTTTTTAATCATTTTATTAGGGGCTCATCTTATCACAATCCATACATACATCAATTGTGTAAAGCGCATTTGTACATTCATTGCCCTCATCATTCTCAAAACATTTGCTCTCCACTTAAGCCCCTGGCTTCAGCTCCTCATTTTTTCCCCTCCCTCCCCGCTCCCCCTTCCCTCATGAGCCTTTGATAATTTATAAATTATTATTTTGTCATATCTTGCCCTGTCCGACGTCTCCCTTCACCCACTTTTCTGTTGTCCATCCCCCAGGGAGGATGTTATATGTAGCTCCTTGTAATCGGTTCCCCTTTTCCACCCCACCCTCCCGGTATCGCCACTCACACCACCACTGGTCCTGAAGGGATCATCTGTCCAGGATCCCCTGTGTTTCCAGTTCCTATCTGTACCAGTGTACATCCTCTGGTCTAGCCAGATTTGCAAGGTAGAATTCAGATCATGATAGTGGGGGAGGAAGAAGCATTTAGGAACTGGAGGAAAGTTGTATGTTTCATCATTGCTACATCGCACCCTGACTGGCTCCTCTCCTGCCCGCGACCATTCCGTGAAGGGATGGCCTGACACTGTGTGAGCACACACACAAAAAATAATAACTAAATGAATGTAAATTTTAAGTATGCGTTGATCCGAATTTAAAAGTTACTTTAATTTTTTCCAGGAACTCAGTGAGCTGTTATGATTTCCAGTAAACCTCGATTAAGATGTGGTGACATGTATTGGAGTAGAGAAACATTGAAGAATATCAGAAGAAATTAATATTTATTTTACCTTAAATCTTCTTGAAATTTCAAAAAATATATTCCACCTCGGTGATACAGACTTCTGGAAAAAATAACTAAATGCAAAAATTTGTCTTAGAAACACAATACACCACCTGTGACCAAATATATTTTAAAAAAATTTTAAACGCACTCTTCTCTTCTCTGCAGATTAAATAAAATGTGATGCTTTCAGAAACTACACTATGTCAGGATATTTAAATGATAAGCCATATATAGGACAATCTGTGGAAATAGGGGGGCTTATGGCCAGAGAAGGGAGACCCAGCCAAGTGAGGACAAGTTCTGATTTCCCCACAACCCATGGTCTCCCATCAGAGCCACAGATTTAATATTCAACCAGCAAAGTACTTTTTATCATCTAAAACATACAGTAACAGCAAAGAATTACAAAATCACACTACCCGTCTCAAGGCATTTATATTCAGAGCCAGCAAATAGGCTCTTTGATGTTTGAAATTGGTAGGTTTGAGAGTGGAAAATACCACGAACAAAGGAAACTCAAAAAGAAACCGAGACAATACTCTTTCTTCACACAACAAAAAAGGTAAACTAGAATCACTCCCGGTTTCAAGTTACAACCTGTCCCACTGAATTGCATTCACAGTGGGGCAGGTCACAAGAAACTAATACCAGAGCCCCAAAAGAATGTATGAACAGCACATGAACATTTCTCACTGTGGTCCAGTCAGCCTCATCAGAGTGGAACAATACCCAAACCCACGAAACATATTCCATGTCAAGATTTCAGGTGATTGAAATTTTACTTTTGGAAGAAGCCAGGGTGTTTCATTTGTAGAATCTGATTGGCACATTTATAAATTGACACGGTTTTCAAGGCCAAATGAAAGGAAATTAGCATTCAACTTTCCAGAAATACTTTATCAGTAAATAGTGTTATGACATACTAAGTAAAGTTGCTATCAAAACATTTCTTAGATAATACTCTCTCAAAAATAGAGCATTCTTTCTGAACCTGATTTTTCTTGTCTATATAATGGACCAACAATCTCTGTTCTAAATACCCCATCAGTTTATGGTGATAAATGAAATAAATGAAAGTGTTTCTCAAACTCCAAAACCCTATAGGATTTTATTTTGTTAATTATCAATATCCTTCAAACAAATGGACACCGTCTGTCCTTCTAGACACGCATCTTTCTTCCTGGTCTCATATTTCTAGATCCACAATAGCACCAGCATGTTGCATCTTAGCGATTTATCTGTTTGATTACCATTGAGATCTGATGTCTTCCAATGAGGAAACACTGCTCCTGAGAAGATCTAAAGACTGTCCATGGGGTAAAGCATACCAATTGCTTTAAGGGCACAATTTCCAGATTCTCAACACCTATATCTGAACATTATGACGTAAGCTTGCTTTCTAAAAATGAAGAGGAGTTTAAGGACTTACTGATGAAGCTCAAAGAATAAATCCTTCCATATGTGTTACCTGTCAGTATAAGGGAACAGATTGGACGTAGAGCTTGGGAAAATCCTCACCACTAGGCCAATAAGCAACATTACAATCAAGGGAGGAGCGATTGACACAGTCCGGGGTTTCATTTTACTTAGCTCCACAATCCTCTAGAGGCAACAGTCAAAAAATCAAATGATGCATTGACTTGCTGGCAATTTGCTGGATAAAACCTCATTAATGTTAAAAAACAAAGATGTCACTTGAGGACTTAGATGTGTCGGACCCAATTGAAGATATTTTCAAACGCCTCATATGTATATAAAAAGGGTGGATAATGAATAAAGAAGAAAAGAAGAATCATTGCCTTCAATTATAGTGTTGGTAGAGTATACTGACTCTATCATGGACTGTGAGAAAGATAAACAAATATGTATTGGAAGAAGTACAGCCAGTTTGCTGCTTGGGAGGGAGACTGGCAAGACTCCATCTCGCAAGGTAAGAGGAAGAGCCAGTCTCTAGAGGAAATATCATGCGAATAAAAAGAGAAAGGCTCTCAGTAAAACGGACTGACACAGGGGCTGCAATAATAGGCTCAAACATAGCAGCCATCGTGAAGCTGCCGCAGCACAGACAGAGCCTTGCTCTGGTTCAAAGCTACACCCAACAACAACACAACAAAGACAGAGTTGCCCCACCACCCACTCTCCTTTCCAATTTCCTTCTTCTCAGTCACTCTGAGCCCACGTGATGAGAAAGACATCTCTTATGCTTCACTATTCTTTCTACTGTGGAAAATTACTCCATCACATAAAACCTTCGGGACAAAATACCCATTGAAAATCTGAAATATGGGTGACTTTGTCGGGAACACAAATGGCTTTTTGCAATGCAGGTAGTTTCTAAAGGGCCTAATGGAATGGACATGTGATTAATCATTAAGAATAACTTTTTCCCTTTAGTTTTATTTTTTGCCAATAGTTTCATTGGCAGATAATTTACATATCATAAAATTTTTAAATAAATTTTGATGATAGAACAACTTTGTTTTCAACATAGACTTGGCAAGATTTAAAATATATAAGGACAAATCAAAAGTATTGCTACAAAATCATAGAACCCTTTATTCAAAGAAATATCAAAATGTGAAACTGTGGGCCAGGACAAAGTAGTCCCTAGAGAAAGACATCATGCTGGGTAAGTGGAGGATGATCCCTGGCAAGATGGATTGACACAGGGCTACAACAATGGCCTCTAACCGGGAGCAATTGTGAGAGTGGTGCCGGACCAGGCAGTGCTGTGTCTGTGGCACAGCGGAGCACCATGAGTCAGAACCCACTCGACAGCACCCAACAGAAATTATTTTAGTGTTTTTGTTTGTTTAATTTATTATTAATTGGAATTAGTACAGTTAGCATATCATTCCATAGTTCAATCACGTCGAGCACAAGTATACAATTGCTACCAGTTTCCAAACATTCTTTTTCTTCCAAAACTCTTTGACATTGTCTTACTTTTACCCCACCACCACAACCACTGTATACATACACACCGCCCCCTCCCCTGCACCCCAAAACCCTTATTCTTCTTGGTGTCCCTGTAGGTTCCTCAATCCTGGGTTTCATACACCCAACCACACATAACACAACGTCATGAGGGTGACCTCCAATGGCGTCACACCTCTGAGATACACCCCAATATGAGCAAACAAAAACAAAAATACACAAAATGCTGAAAACCAGGCCAGGTCTAGCATGCATCAGAGGAGGGATTAACTGACAAAATTTTAATTGTTCTAGTCAGATGTATGCCTTTGATCTATGCTCGTCTCTCCAGTGCACTCTGTTGAGTGCCCACTTTCCTCCCATCCTTCAATTATAAGTAGAGGGAATTCTTATTTCCTATGCAATTCCCACAAATGAATCTGGGGCTCCCACTGTCATCCATAGCCTTCTGCAAACCCGATTCTCACAATTTAGACACTGACACTAATCCCTCCTTCAATTTGGGATTATATGATTTACAATCCTTTGGAGCAATTGTTTTTTACATACAATCCATGTAAGCCTCTTGCTTTTAATAAGCATTACCGCCGTACTTGATCCAAATTGTATAATGTACCTGTACTTGATTTGGTCTTAGGGCAATCTCTGGAATATTCAGTATTCTTTGCCAAAACTACAATCCAAATACTCTGTTCACTTTTAAATCTTCCTTTTTCATTGTCCAACTTTCACATGCATGTGAGGCAAACCACCAAAGTGACATCATTGTTTTTAACCTTAAAGAGTTCTTTTAATTTTCCCAGTGGAATTTGCTATTTAATTTCTTAACTGCTGTTTCCATAAGCATTGATTATTGATGCGATGAAATCCTTGACAACCTTCATTTCTTTTTCCTTTATCATGATGTCATTTATTGACTCCGTTGTAAGGATTTTCATTTTCTTTTTGTTGAAGTATAAA